TGAGTTGAGTTCCTCAGCTGGGGGTGGGGCCACACAGGGTGGAGGTCAGGGAGACAGGCTGCGGGGGAGGGGACGCCCTTAGCAAGGCGCCTCTGGTCCCTGCTTTTAGAACTGATGAGGGGACCTCTGAGACCTCTCCCTTGATTTCATTACTTCTACTTCCTCTCCTAACTGGATTAGATGGCAGTCTATGAAACCCACGGCATCAAGATTGGCTTTCTGCCTGGAAATGAGGAGAAATGTCATTATGGGTCCTGAATCAGCATCTCACCCCAGCCCTGGGCAATGGGGAGTTGGTCTTTGCCCTGGATGAGTAAAATAGTTATTCACTCTTTCCTTCATTCCTCTCCTGCATCCATCCATCCATCCAATATGCATTCTGTAGCTCTCCCTCTGCAGCCAACCTGGTGTTCAGCTGTTTCAAGCAGGAGACAAGAGACATGGTGCTTTTTCCCAACACTCTGACTTCAATATAACACAGAGGTGCCAGAGGTATTCGTGGGACAGAAGGCTTCATTTCAGTAGGGAGCCTTCGAGTGAATCCTGCCTTCCCTGAACCATAGCTATGGAAAGGAGCAGAAGGGAGAGACAACCAGGCCTGATGCCTGGGGACAGAACAGGCCAAGAGTCTTGGTTATGAAATGCAATAGGTGGTCTCCAAAGTCCAGCCCCAGGGTCACCCAGTGCTTCCTCTTCCCATCCCAAGAGTCTTTTTACAGCTGCATTCTCTTTGGAACTATCTATCCTTGTACCCATTTGACAGAGAGGAAAATGAGGCCCAGACTGGACTGGATGCCTCTGTGTACTCAGATGACTATCCCTTACTCTACTGACACAAGCCTAAAAAAGCGTCATGGTAGTGAATTTCTGTAAACAAAATTTTAAACAGGCATAAAGAATTTATTATTTAATTAATGAACCCCCGTGGCAAAGTGGAAGGGTATTGCCCCAATTCATCTGGCTCATATGTGTGCATTTTCATATAGAGTATTCATTTAAAGAGAGGCCCAGTGGCACTCACTGTGTCACTCTGTTTGTTTAGGGTCAGGCATTGGGCGCCTCTAACCCTGAGAACATCTGTCCTGGTTGGCACTGTGCCCATTGCTCTGTTTGCGTCCAGCACAACATTCTAAATGGCAGGATAATTTGTCTGCTGTGTGGCAGGTGGGGATTCCAACATCTGATACAGGATGGAAGTGGGCACCCTTGAGGTCCCTACAAACTCTGAAACTGTATGATCTTTAAAAATTTGGCATATTTGCCTCCTTTGCTATGAGACCAGAAGAACTGGATGGTGCTTGGCTACCATTACTGAATATTTTGATCAAAGATTTTATAGAAGAGTCCTGATCAAAAGGGGGAAAATGCATAATTAACTTGAAATGGATCTAAGATGTAAATATAAAATCTAAAACAGTAAAGATCTTGGTAGAAAAAATAGGGACAATATTGTATAGGACAATGCCCCAATACGTGGCATAAATTCAACACAAACCATATCTAACAATGCACAAGCACCAAAAGATAAACTAGTCAGCTGGGAGTGCCTAAAAATTAAACAGTTATGCTCATCAAAAGACTTCACCAAACGAGTAAAAAGAGAACCTACAGACGGGGAAAAAAAATTGGCTACCACGTATCAAACAAAGGTTTAATCTCTAAAATCTGTAGAATACTTCAACACCTCAATAACAAAAAGGCAAATAATCCAGTTTAAAAATGGGCAAACAATATGAACAGACACTTCACCAAAGAAGGCATTCAGGTAGCTAACAGACACATGAAGAAATGCTTGTGATCATTAGCCATTAAAGAAATGCTAATCAAAACTACAGTGAGGTACCATCTCACCCCGACATTACTGGCACAAATCAAAAAAAAAAAAACAGAAAATAACAAGTGTTGGAGAGGTTGTGGGGAGACTGGAACTCTTATGCACTGCTGATGAGAATGTAAACTGGTATAACCACTATGGAAAATTATATGACACCTCCTTAAAAAGCTAGAAATAGAAACACCACAGGACCTAGCAATCCCATTCGTAGGAATATGTTCAAGAGAAATAAGAGCTGTCACGTGAATAGACATATGCATGCCCATGTTCACTGCAGCCTTATTCACAATGGCAAAAAGATGGAAACAACCTAAGAGCCCATCAACAGATGAATGGGTAAACAAATTATGGTACATACACACGATGGAATACTACGCAATGATTAAGAACAATGATGAAATCTTTAAACATCTCACAACATGGATGAATCTGGAAGGCATTATGCTGAGTGAAATAAATCAATCACAAAAAGACAAATATTGTATGAAACCAGTATTATAAAAATGCAAGAAAAGGTTTACACACAGAAAAAAAAACAATCTTTGATGGTTACAAGGGAGGGGAGGGGTGGAGAGGGGAAATCACTATATAATAGACAAGTGTTAACTTTGGTTAAAGGAAAGACAACACACAATATAGGGGAGTCAGTACAATTTGACCAAAGCAAAGTCAGGGAAGCTTCCTAGACACATCCAAACACCTTGAGGGACCAAGTTACTAGGGCTGAGGGCTGGTCTTGGGGGACATCTAGGTCTATTGGCATAACATAGTTCATAAAGAAAATGTTCTACATCCTACCTTGATGAGTAGTGTCTGGGGTCTTAAAAGCTTCTGAGTGGCCATCTGAAATACATCTATTGGTTTCATCATGTTCGGAGCAAAGGAGAATGAAGAAAACCAAAGACACAAGGAAAATATCATTCCAAAGGAGTAATGGACCACATGAACCACAGCCTCCACCAGCCTGAGCCCAGAAGAACTAGATGGTGCCCGGCTACCACCACCAACTTCTCTGACAGGGATCACAGTAGAGGATTCCGGACAGAGCGGGAGAAAAATGTAAAACAAAATTGAAATTCACAAAAAAAGGTCAGAATTACTGGTCTGACAGAGACTGGAGGAACCCCCGAGACTATAGCCCCCAGACACCATGCTGACTCAGAACTAAAGCCACCACTCCCAAAGTCCACCTTTCAACTAAAGATTAGACAGGCCTATAAAACAATCACACACGTGAGGAACATGCTTCTTGGTTCAATCAAGTATACGAGAGTAAATGGGCAGCACCTGCCCAAAAGCAAAGTTGAGAAGACAGGAAGGGACAGGAAACCTGGATGAATGGACATGGGAATCTGGGGTATAAAGGGAAAGGAGGAGAGAGCTGACACATTTCAGGGATTGCAATAAATGTTACAAAACAATTTGTGTATAAATTTTTGAAAGAGAAATTAATTTGTGCTGTAAACTCTCACCTAAAACAAAATAAAATAAAAAAAGGGGGGGGAATGCAGAACAGAATTCAAATTCTCATGGACTTTAGACTTTCTGGAGCCATGGAGGCTGGATGAACCCCTGAAACTCTTGCCTTGAGAGAATCTTTAAACCTTAAACCTAAAATATCCCTTGAAGTTTTCTTAAAACCAAACACTAGCTTAGCTTCACTAGTAAAGACTGTTGGAGCCCTGGTGGTGCAGTGGTTAAGAGCTTGCCTGCTAACCAAAAGATAGGCAGTTCAAGTCCACCAGCTGCTGCTCCTTGGAAACCCTATGAGGCAGTTCTACTCTGTCCTGTAGGGTCCCTATGAGTTGGAATCAACTGGACGACAACGGGTTTGGTTGTTTGTTGTTGTCTGTTGCCTTGGCCATTGGGCTTTGTCAAGATCTATCTATATGGGCTTAAGCTGACAACAACAACTCAAAAGATTAGATAGGGAACTTAGAGGGCCATGAGTTAATGTTAACGAAGAACAACCCAGAAAACGGAACTGATAATGGTTGTACAACTCGAAGAATATAATCAATGTCACTGAATTGTATAAGTAGAAATTGTTGAATTGCTATATGTTTTGCTGTGTGTATTCTCAACAACAAAATTAATAAAATTTAAAAAAAAGAAAAATGGGCATATTTTAGGGCCAACCACAGATTTCAGAGTTTTAAAATAACTGCTCCCCAAGAGAAGCATAGGACATGCCTCTGAGTGCAAAGAACTTTGAGTTTGGTTAGAAACACAAAAACGGCAAGCAAGCCTGGGATTAGAGAGCACAGATAGCCAACTACTGGGCTCTGAGAATCCAGAAAAGCTGCAAGCATGGGCCGGAGGCATCAAGACTTCCTGGAGAGGCTAGTATTTGAGTGGGGTCAGATTCTAGACAAGCAGAGACGAGCGCAATTGTCATGACAAGGAAGGAGAAGAATAGGAAAAAGCACATGGAAGAAGAAAGAGGCCCACCGAGTATATGGAGGGAAGAGACTTGCTTAATGGGTGCTAAGCTTGGAGGATGACAAAGGAGATAAAATGGAAAGTAAGTATACACAACAAAGAGTGCGGGCATTTTAGAAGCTGTTACTGCACTGGGGGGGGGGGCGGGGATCACAGTGACATAGTTTTTGTTTTTTCAATAAATGTATTGATCACCTACAATGAGGCAAGCACTAGGACAAACAAGGTCCCTGCTTAGATGGAACTCACATTCTAGTGTAGACACTGGGGTAGGGAGTCAGATAGGAAACAAGTAAACGTACTTTTTCAAAATTAATTCTCCGGTAGGTAAGTATTGTGAACACAATGAAATGGGATAATGGGAACGAGAGTATTTTGGAGGTGTGGTTACTTTGGACAGCAGAGGCCTCTATCTCACAGGGTAGGGCCTGTCTGAGAAGATCACATCTGAGCACATAAAGGTCCAGGGATCCCTCCAGACAGAACAGCCAGTGCAAAGGCCCTGAGTCAGGAAAGAGCTGGGATTGTTGGAGGGACAGCAAGGAGAGAACAGTGTGATTGGCGCCCAGTGAGCAAGGGGGCGGATGATAGGATGTAGGCAGGGGCCAGATTGTGCAAGATCTTCTGAGCCATGGGGAGGAGAGGCTTGGGGGTGTAGAAGGTGCGCTTATAGGAGAGCGTGTGAGCGTGATGCAGAGAAACGATCTGCACCTTCTCTTCCCAGAGGCCAGAAGACTTCCTGACATCAAACAACAGCAAGGCTCTACCCATCCTGGATCCCAAGATCCTGGATGAGAATCTAGGTAGCATCCGTGAATCCTGGTCAAAGTCCTCGGAGAGCTCCACAGTGGACTCCAGCACATCCATCCTTCAGGAAGCAGAGCCAGAGATGTCCAATGAAAAGGTAAGTGTGTCTCCCCAGGGCAGGGGGGACCAGAGCACTGATAAGAGCCATGGGGAGGGCGCTTCCCTGCCACCTGTGGGCCTGGCTCATTCCACAGGTGGCAAGTCACCCTCCCCCTTAGACACACTCTGTATGTGAGTGACACCAACGATCAGCTGGTGGAAGTTGTGGATTCTTCATTTTTCAGAGCTTCTTCACTTTATGAATGAAACCCCCATAAGATTTCTTTCAAAACAAACCCCTCCAACCCTTGTAAGACAGGATTCCACTTCCTCAAGAAGTCATTAACTCAGAACGTCCTTAGGGGTACGTTCATCAGGTAATGAGAGGCCCCCTGAGAGATTATTTTTTACTTCTAAAAGGGGAGATCAGGTCTCAAAGAAAACAGGACACCATCTTTGGTCACAGAGTCTGTGTCCTTGACCGTGGAAGCTAGGTAGCTTCCTGCTGTCAAGTAGACCAGATGCTTGAGAAGGGTTAGTGAAGGTGACATGGTAGCCAAGACGGTGTCTTTAGTGAGGGGTCAGTACCTGATTCAAAGACCTAAAGAATAGGCCACAAAGAGGCAGTCTAGTCAAAGTCTCCAATTGAGGTCTTGTCTCAAAGACCACGGATGAATTCATGTGTGGCTTCCTCCCTTCTTCCACAGCGGACCCCATGGGGAAAGCTGCTCCAGAAAATCCTGAGAAAAGGCCCCAGCCAAGACTACCGGCTACTAGGGAAGCCCTGGGCATCCTCCTTTGAGGACCTGCCCCCCTCTACTGACAGCCTCCCCATTTTCCCCTGGCACTTCTGCACCTTTCTGGAATATGTTGCATCAGATGAATAGGAAGGGTTACTGTCTGCTGGGTATGACCAAGATGCTCCCACAAGGGGCTCTCCCCTGCCCACCCTGGTGCAGGGCTCTCCCAGTCAGATCAAGCACTATGACACTTACTGGCCATCTTCTGCAACTGCCTCCTCTCACCTCTGCCTTTTGGGAAAGCAGCTCTTGGGCTCAGCCTTCCAGCTCAGCCATCAAATGGGTTGAAAATCAAGATCTTGTCTTTGGAGACTTTTGGCAGCATGAATAAACCAATGCCTGCTGCTCCCAAGAGGTTGGTCCTGTGACTCCTCCTTCTTGTGCCTCTAAACAGAGGTAGTGAAAGAGAGGAAAGGGGGAGGTTAAAAGGCCAGGGAAGGAGGAAAGAGGGAAGGTGTCATCAAAGGGGAAATGCAGACAAGAAGGAAGGAGAAAGGTGAATACATCTCCTTCCTGGTCACAGCCCTGCAGAGAGCAGCCTCATCTTCCCTCACCCCTCCAGCTTGACCTCGTGGGGACGCACAACTCAGCCAAGCCTCATCCCTCATCCAGTTAAGCTCCACCTCACCCAGGTTGCAGAACTCGGCCCCTGTATCACACCACCTCTGGGAGCAGGGCCCATTATGCTGCCTGGCTGGACAAGCCTCTGGTCTCAGCCACCTGGGTGCTAGACACCAGCAGGACCAAAGAGGAAGTAGTATCGGGCCCCTACCTCTGGTACCGTACATGGCACGGGCTCCCTGGTTTGGGTTTGGTGAAGATATCTGCTGGACAAAAAATCCAAGGTCTAAGTTGAGGTCCACAGTTCTGAGGGTGTGGATGATTTGAGAGACATTAGACACAGGTACTTAATACTGTAGACTTGTTTGGGGGAGGTAAGACATAGAAAGGGGAATTGGTTGGGTCACAGTCTTCATTCTGCTTCTAAAATTCTATGATGATGATGATGATAGAGGAGAGAAGGAGAAAAACAGGGCTGAGGAGGAAAAGGGTCTTTAAATATAAGAGGAATCTGATATGTGGGGATTTAAAACAATATTTTTAAAATATCTGAAATATTACAATAATATTTAATCTGAAATACTAAAATATTATATGAGTATAATACTATACCCATATAATTACATGGGTAGTAGACCAGTTAGTCTTGATCTTAAGGATTAAGCCAAAAGAAATGGGACTAAACTGCAGCTTGAGAAGTCAAGGTTAGCCATTAGGAGGAATTGTTTTTCAGCAAGAGAGTGTAGGCATTGTAAGTGACAGAAAGAAAGAAGAGAAATATGTGTCCCAAGGTCACTAAGACAGGATTCTGGAAGACCTTTCATCTAAGTGATAACCAAGGGACTCAGGGCAGCCCTATAGCCACAGTCTGTCAAAGAAGTCATGAGTTGGGTCCATTGGGTCTGTATCCAGAACCAACCCAAGCACACCCACCCTGGACATCACCATCAGTCCCATCAATGGTCTTTGTGCCCATCGAGAAGGCTCCATGGTCCCTTTACTCCCCCCTCCCCTTGATGACACCTGGCAAGGCCACACTGACTGGCTGCTAGCCCTGATTTGCTAATGGGTTAGGTCCACTCAGCCACCGTCATTCAGCCCTTGAACTAAAGTGCATACTGCCTTCCTCACCTCTGGGCTCCAGGACCCAGCCTAGGCCTGGCCCAACATAGACTTTGGTAAATGCTTGCTGGATCCTGTAGTAGAACCCACGGCTGGACAGCAAGAGCATCAGAAGGAAACTTAGAGCTAATCTGTCCAATCCCCTCATTTTACAAAAGGTAGCAATGAGGAGGCCCAGCGGTGGGACAACATCTGTTCAAGCTTCCCTGATCTGCTATCCCATCTGCTATTCATAGAGCCAAGGAGAAATACCACATGGCTACAGAAGCCTGCCCACCCAGCTCTGGACCCTTCAGCCAGTCTGCTACCATCGGGCCCCTCAGATACTCACATAGCATTCAGGGCGGTAGTCTGCCCCTCTTCCCATCTCAGCTTTTTCCAGGCCCTCCCTGTTCCCTCCTAGTTTTCCTGACTCTTGATTCTATCCTCTTTACCCTCCACCCTTGTCCTTCATTCCTCTAACTCACCACTCCTCTCTCTCTCTCTCTCTCTCTCTGTTTCTCTCTCTCTCTCACTGGGCTCAGGTTGACAATGCTGGCTATTCCCACCTCTGACACTTTGCCCTAGTTCAGCTGTGGAGACCCAGCCCGCAGTTCCAGTTCCTGCCCATTGGCCGCAGCATGGCCAGGATCAGGGCAAGATCCAGACAAACACATTCATGTGCCACCAGAGTCCAGTTACAATCAATAGAACATAGGTGCGTAGCAACAGTGTACAGCTCTGTGACAATTGCAGGTAGCCATGTAGCCACCGATTACTGTTACATAGCAACCAAGCAAAATCACATAGCAATGGGCAATTACAGAGCAATGGGCAAACTCATGCAACCAAGAGGCACAATGACAAGCATTAGATTCAGTCACGGAGCAGCGAAGTATAGTTGCATAGCAATAGACCCAAGCCATATAGTGATACCACACATCCCTGTATAGCAGGGGAATGCAATCACAGAGCATAGTCATAAGCAGGCTTACGGAGAAGATACTTGGATAGCAATAGAATGCACTTGGGTAGCAACGATATTGTGGTCACAAGGTGGGTACCTCCTGGACCTGTCGTCAGGGACTGATCAGCAGCACAGCCTGGGGTGTAACATCAGCCTGGTGATGTGACAGGGGTTGTGTAGTGGTCACGTGATTAACTTAACTGCCTCCCTTGGCTGTCACCATTGTCCCCCGGCCTGTGAGCCCCTCAGCATCACCTGATTTCCGGAATATGTTTGTTTGTGTCTGGTCTTGCCACACATCCCCCAGAGCCCATGAAACAATTTGCTTCTGATTCCCTCCAGAGCCTACTTTGACTTCATAGGAAATTGAGCATTTTCTGGAGAAAGGAGCACCCTGGGAATGGAGGAGGGAGTGGAGGGATGCAGGGGGAGGGGAGGGAGCCACAGATGCTCCCTGCTGCCCAGGCCCTGTCAGTCACCACTCCCCAGCCCCACCTAACCCTACTGGGACTCCTCTCCCCATAGTGTGCCTCCATGCACCTTCATTCCTGGATTGCAATCCAGTCATTTCTTCCGTCTGGGGTTCCCTTCGTCCAGGACACCTGGTTTTGATGTAGACCTCTCAAA